TCAAAATTTGGTATTATGTGGTTGATGTGTGACGCATGGCTAAGTTTAATATTATAGTATAATATTATTTTTTTCCTCAAAATTTAACATTATGTGCTTGATGTGTGTTTCATTATGTGTTTTTATCTATGATTATGTCATTAAAAAAATTTAATAAATATCAATTGAGTGGATTTCCTGAAAACTCTCGAAAGTTGTGAGATTTCGTCCTCTATATAAACACATAATGCACGGAAGAAAACAAAGCAAGTTGCAGAAGAAAACTTACCTCTGGAAGAAAACTGATTCTTGAAAAAAAACTGCAAGTAAAACAATTTGCAAAAGAAAAAAAATGCATGGAACACTAGTAAATAAAAACCTCAATGATGTTGTGTTGTTTCTAAAAAGAAAACTAACCTTTGAAGCCTGAATATTATCTGGGAATTCTTCCGATGGTTGTAATTGTTTTCCGTGAATTGTTCTTGATTCTCCCATGTTTATGATAAAATAAAAACTTCAAAAAAAACCCCAAAAAAAAAAAAAAAAAAAGAGCGCAATTGAAAAAATATGGAGGGATAAAAAGTACCACCACTTTTACTTTTATAATTTGGGAAAACATTTACTCTTTATCCTATTTAATTGTAAATATATTTTTTTTATTTTAATTATTTTATATAACTGTGTTTTTGCATGCCTCCTGTCAAATAAAAAATAATAAAAACTTTGTATTTATTTAATTAAATTCTATACTATATGCAAGGAAAACAAATTACAATACTTGTGAATTGGAATTTGGTAGAGTTTTGTTTAAGTAGAATATGCATCAAAATTAAATGTATATAATAAGTTGGGTTTACGAGGATTAGATGTTTGATTACTTACCCTAATATGTATCATAACTAAAATTAAACAAATTATTTTATTAATTAATCTTATAATTATTTATATATATGAATAATTTATTTAATTTTTCACATTTAAAAGTAAATTACATAAATTATGATGAAGAAAACTAAATTCTACATATTTAAGATAAATAATTTGAATTATAAATGATGAATAAGATAAATAATATTTACATAGTGGGGTTGTCACACAAGCTAACCATAGTCTCATGTGACTCACTAAGTTTAATTTTTATAAGTAAACTTATATTCTTATTATAAAAAATACGAAAAGATTGTGAATTAAATCACAAGTGGTTTGAATTAATTGCAACTGACACCTTGAGAACAATTTATTAAATCACAAGGAGATGAAACCAACTGAAATCCTACCATTGCTAAGCTCCGTAATGAATTCTTTATTTCTTGTTCATAGAACGAACTTGCAAATTGATCTCCAACTTATTGATTAATGACGTATTCGAGGGTCCTGTTCCCTGGTGAGTGGGCAACGGTCCCGCTCGTTGGTGAGAGGGCGGGGATGAGGGGGCAATGCACCCTTCACGGTAAGTCCAATTAGTAATTGAATTTGTTATTAGATTACTAATATTTGAGCTTGGGTTGGGTTAGATTCAAATTAACCCACATAAATAGGGTTTTCTATTATATATACACTTAAAAGCAATTATTATTAATTAAAGTGGTCTAAATATTTGATTTAGTTATGCCCAAAGTGATAATTACTATAGTTTATATATATATATATATATATTTCATCCCATTTCCACTAAACGTCTAGATCCAATAAAGTATTATTATTAAATAAAATATTATTAATTTAATAATTTGAAATAAAATATAGCATAAATGTAAGATTGGCAGCAGGAGGTTGACAGGTGAGATTAGGCAAAACTTTCACCCTATTCCACTAGACGTCTGGACCCAATAAATATTATTAATTTAATAGTTTAAAATAAAATATAAATAAATATGAGTTACTTGACGGTGGACAGGTGAGAGCTGTACCATTAGATTAGACAAAACCAAATTGATTTGGTAGCTCAAGATCAGCATCAAAGATTAGGGCCAGGATCTCCACCATCTCATGTTTATTAACATCTATTTTCTTTTTTTAATTCCCAAAGGCCTCGGTTTTCACTCACAGTCGCCACTATCAGATTGGGTTCTCGCCACTATCAGATTGGGTTTGAATCCATTTGTTTAGTCCTTAATTAGCCAAATTGAATTGGACCTATTACTTATCTGAATGATTGATTTCAAGAAAAAAGGTTAGTTAATAACAATCTCTACATCTTTTTGCATTATCTTTATATCGATGTATTTTGTTTCGTTTTCTGATTTTTGAATTTTGCTTTTAATAACAAGCTCATCATCTGTTTGTGAAATATCTTTAATGAAATTTTGTGTGTATCTATCTTTGATAAAAGAATGAAAAAGATCAATTCAATCCCTGTAAATTGATTTTTATTTTTTTATTTTTTGCATTAGCGTAGCTGATGTTTTAACTTCATCTATTTTTCAAAAACTTAAGTTATGATTGAAGATAGCCGTGCACAAAAAGCAAGTGGTCATAAAAAGAATATGTTGTGAATGAATTTATGTAATGGTTTGATGCCTTGGGAATCTCCCTTGAAAGATAACTGGTTTCTTGTTTGCATTATACTAATTAAATAATATAAGATAGAAAGTGTCCAAAAAAATATATAAAAATTAGCAAATGACTTTAGAACAAATTTAATGATTATTTATTTATTATCACATTATTCATTATTCTAATTTAATTAATTCACATTTATAATCTTTTTGTCCATTTGGAAATTTTTAGAACAAATTCATACAAAGGAGCTTAATGTTTTGATGGTTTGCCCAGCCTACAAACATGAAACAAAAATAAAACGATATGCAATAAGGAAATCTAGCTATTTCTTCAAATTTCAACCGAGAAAAATTTACCAGTGTGGACCATGGGCATTATAATGGCTAGGGGCAGGTGGAAGATAGACATGAGTGTTACTTATATGTTGACTGACTCTTTGGTTTTTGGATGATAAAACATTGGTCTGACTGAGCTAACCTATATAGCATAAGTAGAATATGTTTTACAGCATTTATGAATTTCGTAAAAAGCTTCAGGAGGTAATTTCAGTTGTAGAAATCTGTTACTTTTATTATCTTTTTATTTTTTTTTATTTTTTTTTTTTTATAAGAAGGAAAAAACTAACATTATTAAAGATAGGAGAAAATTAACTTTGTTTCTTTTATAAGATAATTGTATTAAAATATAAAATAGAAACAGAGAAGTTAGTTAACTTGTATTTTGATTTTAGAAAATGTAGGAGCTTGATTCTAACACATTATTTATTCACTGTTTCATGGTTGTGGATCATTTGGTGATTTTGAGATAATTGAAGACTTAGAATATGTGATCAATACTTGATGGTCCCTTTTCTTGTCTCCTCCCCCAATTTCTATTGAAAACTGAACTGAGATGACATACCAAATGATTGGCAGGGTGAAGTCCATCTCTTGCTTCTTGCAATATTTTAATAAGATATCGGTAATATGATACATTGTTACTTGAAATTTTCTCTTGATTTTGGAATGGATAATAATTAGCAAAACAGAAGTCTCTTCTTATTTAGGTACATGTTTGCCTTTCTATCAATCAAACATTTAGTTATATATGGACATACTAGCATCCATCTATAAACAAAACAATATATACTATATATGTTGATAATCTTCTCTGTGGACCGTAGATTTGAGTGGATGACTTCTAAATTAATGTTTGTGTTTCACATTAGTTATTTTTCATTTAGTTTATTTGGATCAAGTAGTTATTTCATTTTTTAATTATTATATATTAATAATTAAACAGGATTGCAATGGACAAACAATGGATGCAATGTATAGATAGATTGTGTAATGAGTATAGCACAGGAGTTCAGAAGTTTCTTGACTTTGCTTTTAGTCACACAAACTTAGGTGGTGTGATCCCATGCCCTTGTATGAAGTGTAACAATGTTTTGCACAAAACAAAAGATGAAGTACATGGTCACTTGTTAATGCATGGAATCCTCAAAGGATATACTTGTTAGTTATATCATGGTGAATTCATCACTAAAAAGAAACATGTCCCTAATGACTTAAAAACAAATGAAAAAGATGATATAATTGGGATGATTCATGATGCAGCTAGACCTAACCTAATGGATGCTATAATGCAAGATGTTTGTGTGCAAGACACCATCGAGCCTAACAATCCTAATAATGTTGAACATGATGCTTCACCATTGGTTCCAAATAAAGAAGCCCTTAAATTTCTTAAGCTATGAGAAGATGCCCAACAACAACTTTATCCTGGTTGTGATGAGTTCTCAAAGTTGTCATTCATTGTGGAATTATTTCAGATTAAATGACTTTATGGCATAAGTGATAAAGCAGTTGACTGCATAATGCAATTGCTTAAAAAGGCACTTCCTCATGGGGAAAATTTACCAAAATCTTTTTGTGACGCAAGAAAGCTTATAAGAGATCTGGGTCTTCACTATGAAAAAATAGATGCTTGTGAGAATGATTGTGTTCTTTTCTAGAAGGACAATGCAAATGATGAAAATTCTTTGATTTGTGGTGAATCTAGATGGAAATCAGTTGAGAAGAATGCGGTCAATACTAAATAGAGTGGCAAGAAGATTCCTAGGAAAGTCTTACGCTAGTTTCCACTAAAACAAAGATTGCAAAGACTATTTATGTCATCAAAAATAGCTTCAGATATGAGATGGCATCATGAGGAACGTCCCCAAGATGGCATTCTAAGACATCCAGCTGACTCTGATGCATGGAAATCTTTTGATATTTTACATCCAGGATTTTCTTGAGAGCCTCGTAATATTAGACTTGGGCTAGCATCTAATGGAATCAACCCTTTTGGTAATACGAGTGTTTCATATAGCACTTGGCCAGTAATTGTTAATGTATATAATTTACCTCATTGGATGTGTATGAAGCAACCCTATTGTTTTCTATCATTGTTAATACCCAGGCCTAAAGCTCCTGGGAATGACATTGATGTGTACTTGCAACCTTTAATACAAGAGTTATAGGAATTATGGCATTATGAAGTTGAGACTTTTGATGCTTCAAAAAAGGAAAATTCCTACATATGCTAATTTGTCAGGGTGGAGTACTAAAGGAGCAATGGCTTGTCCTTCATGCAATGAGGAGATCCCATCTACTCGACTTAAATATGGTTGTAAGTTTTCTTTCATGGGGGCTCGTCGATTTTTACCTATGAATCATAAATGGCGAGAAAACAAGTCTTCCTTTGATGGAAAATTGGAGAAAAGGTCTGCTCCCAAGAAGATGTCGGGAGATGATATGTTGAACCAATTGCAAATGCTTCAACCTATTACATTTGGTAAGGCTAAAAAGAAGCAGATGAATGATAAAAATCAAAACAGGCTAAATCGGAGGAAGAAAAGCATTTTTTTTTTAAATTGGCATATTGGAAAAAGAACTTATTACTGCACAATCTGGATGTCATGCACATTGGAAAAATATATGTGACAGTATCATAGGTACATTGTTAGATATTGAGGGGAAAACCAAAGACAACTTGAATGCTCGTCGTGATTTGAAGGAAATGGGTATAAGGAAGGATTTGCATCCAACTCAAAAGGATGGGAAGTGGTTTTATTCAGCAACATGTTACACTTTATCTTTAGAGGAAAAGACTAAAATATGCAAGTTTTTAAAAAGTGTAAAGGTTCCTGATGGATATTCATCTAACATCTCACGATGTGTAAGTGTTAAGGAGTGCAAGATAAATCGTCTCAAGAACCATGATTCCCATATTCTTTTAGAACAACTTCTTCCTATGGCAATGCGTGGAATTGTACCTAATAATGTGTATGATGCTATAACTGAGTTGAGCATTTTTTTTAGAGAGTTATGTTCAAAAGTGTTGAAAAAAGAAGCATTGGAGCGCCTTGAATCTCAAATTGTAATAACCTTGTGCAAATTAGAAAGAATCTTTCCACCAACATTTTTTGATGTTATGGTGCATTTAACTGTTCACCTTGCAACTGAAGCAAAAATTGTAGGACCTGTACAATATCGATGGATGTATCCTATTGAGAGGTAATATTTTTTTTTCATTATTTCATATATCTATTTTATGTTTATATGTGTGTGGTTATAATAAGTTATGAATTAGTTGAAACATTTGTATAGGTTCTTAGGAAAATTGAAGCGTTATGTTTGTAATAAAAGTCGACCAAAAGGTTCTATTGCAGAAGGGTACATTGTGGAAGAAAGTCTAATATTTTGCTCGAGATATTTAAATTGTATTGAAACTAAGCTTGATAAGTTGGGAAGAAATTTTGAAGGTAGTAATGTTGATTCAGGCAAAGGGTTATCTATATTTCATCAGTGTGGATATCCTTTAACAAGGGATAAGTGTAGGTCGATTGAAAATAATGAATGGAAACAAGCCCATCTTTATGTGTTGAAAAATTGTGAAGAAGTGCAACCTTTTTTACGGTATGATAGTTTCCTTGTTCATTTTTTTATTTGGTGCTTAGTTTTTTTTTTTTTTTTTTTAATGTATTGTTTTTTCATTGTTGGTTCTTACTTTATTTTTTCAAATTGTTTGCAGTGAACATGAGCAAGGCATGTATCAAGAGGATTTTCATGAATGGTTTCATCATCAAGTAAGGTTTCCTTTTGTAAAATTTTATTTATGCGCATTTTGACATTTAATTCTTACTATTTCTTCTTGTCTTCTTTTTAATAGGTTGTACAATTGTATAAAGAAGAGAGTACATGTGTAAATGAAGTTCTATTATCTTTGTCTTGTGGTACTTTTTATGGTATACAAAGGTTTTCAGGCTATATCATAAATGGTTTTAGGTTTCATACTAAGCAACTTGAAGGAAAAAGGGTAAAGCAAAATAGTGGTGTTTTGGTAAAAGGAATGGTAGAGGATAAAAATATAGATTATTATGGAGTTCTTAATGAAATAATTGAACTTCAATATTTGAATGAAAAACGGATTGTGTTATTTAAATGTGATTGGTGGGATGTTCATGTGATTGGAAGAGGTGTGAAGAATGATAAGTATGGTTTTGTTAGTGTTAATACAACTCGAAAATTATATACGGATGAACCATTTGTGCTTGCATCTCAAGCACAACAAATATGCTATGTTAATGATGGTTCCAATCCTAATTGGCTTGTTGTTTTAAAAGGTCATTCGGATAGCTTTTATGACCTACCGTGTGGTGAAAAATCATCTATTGATGAAGAAGCTTTCCAACAAGACATCTCTAAAATACTCCTCAAATTGCAAATATGTTTGAAGATGATGGTGACTTAATCAATTGGAAGAGACATGAGATATCTGCTTCTAGTAGTGCGATTGTTGATGATGATCATAGTGTTGATGAAGAGAGATCGAGATGTTGAAGACATTGATGATAGTGACATTGATGATGAAGATTTGCTCATATAGATTATTAGATTGTTTTTTACATTTTTTTTATTCTTTCATAATATATTTGTTTGAAAACTTCAAGATTTTTGATACAATTTTTATTGTTTACATGATTGTATGACTTGAGTTCAATCCCTTTATTTTACAAATTATGCTTTCAATTTTATAAAGTTTTATGGTTATATAATTCAATTAATTTGCTTTTCATATTAATACTTTGTGAAGTGAGATATGTTTTGATAAATATATTAATGGTGGTTTTGGTTATTTTGATATATGCACCAAGTTTTATATAAAACTTATCTTCCATACAACTAAATATTCTTTTTATTAAACTTATAAATAATTTAAATAGTTTTATTAACGTTGTCATCATCGTCATCTAAAACATACATACAAGTTCATATATAAAAATATGTAACATTATCAATTTTTATAATATCTCATATCTCATACCTAAAATCATTTATATTTTATAAAGTGTTAGTTTTAAATAATCATAAAAAAGATAAAAACCTTAGAGATCCTTTAAAATACAATTTTATTTTACAAAAGCCCAAACTCTTAGCTCGCTGAAGAGTTCTTTTAAGTTAGTTATTAGTTTAAGGTTTCATTTACTATTGACCTTAGTGGTGTGATTAACACTATATTTGACTATAACTATTTAATTCATAAGTAATAAAAATATAATTACTTACAAGATAAATTAGAATATCTATAGCTGCATACTATAAGGATTGTAGCAAATTAATTTTCACATTCTTTATTTGCTACAAATTCAAATAATTTATAGCTAATACACACATATTAGCTATATGTTGAAGCTAGTAACCAACAATGATACTAAAATGTTGTCACTACCATGAAAATAAAATTTGTATAGCTAGATACCTTAATTAGCTACAAATTTTAATATTTCATAGCTAATGTACAAATAATAGCTATATAATTAAACTCGTAGCTAATAATGATACTATATGCCACGTACATAAAATGTTTATAGCTAAATACATTAATTAGCTACAAATCTCAATATTTTATAGCTAATGCACAAATATAGTTATATAGTTAAAACTCATAGCAAATAATGATACTATATGCCATGTAAATGAAATATTTATAGCTAAATACATTAATTAATTACAATGTTTTACCATAGCTAATACATTGTAGCTAAATGAATAGCTATTGCCACAATTTTAATAAGTTAAAGCAATAGATGAATATTAGCTTCGAGGGAGAAATTCTTATCACTAAAATTATTTCAATTAGCTATAAATATTGACTTTTATAGCTGTAAATATGTATTTGCCTTAGTTTTTCATTTTGTAGCTAATTTTCGTAGTTATATGTGTATATTGTTGTAGTGTTAATGGGGACACATCTGTCTTTTCCACATCTGATTTTTCCCTGAATAAAAATCATCGATTTGGTGTCTAATTAATTTTATGTTTAAAAAAAATATATATTATGTGTATATTTAAATCATATTCTATTTCGAGTCATCTTATTTGGGCCATAATGGGTCGAAAATAGGGAATGACAATTTCAGCTATGGATAATCCCATGATAGACCTGGCCTGATAATAATGTCATAAGAAAACTCGATTTATAAGATTATATCAAGTCGATAACATTATTGATAAGGTGTGAGCTTGTGGTTACGTATTTATTTTTTAAATATCAAATCATCACCATACTTTGTCCCCAAGAAAAGAAAACAAGACTCACTTGCATCCCAAGCATAGATATCCAATATTTTAGGTATTCTATATCAAATAACATTAATACTATAGTACTATATTCAATGTTACTCAATTAAACGCTCTTAAAAGAACTTAATACAATTTATGCCAGTCTCTACACTCAAAATAAAATTCTGCTTCTGATATTTTTGAGTGAATGTTAAAGTGTTTGGCTCTATTGTGATATTCTCATCCCAGTAGGCCCGTTCTTTCATCTTTCAAAATACTACCAGTGTTGTCGATGGAATATGTTGTTGTCATTATAGCTGATTGAATGGTTGTTGTGTATAGAATAAAATACAGATACAATTGTTCATTGTAATGCAAATATCAATAAAAATACTTACATTCTCCATCAAAGATTGGGTCATAGTGTATCAATCTCTCAACCCAAATGTCCAATATGCCCTTTAGCAAAATAATCCTGTATAACATTCCCACATAACACATGTACTACTACACAACCCTTTTCCCTAATCCACCTAGACATTTGGGGTCCTTACCACACTCCTAACCATGATGGATCCAGATTCTTTCTCACAATTGTAGATGATTTCTCCCGTGGCACATGGGTCTTTCTTATGTAGTTAAAAGCCCAAATTTCCACTCATGTTAAAAATTTCTTAACTATAGTCACCAATAAGTTCCATTCATCTGTCAGCGTGTCCGGACAAATAATGCTCGTGACTTCTTTAACGATCAATACTCAACTCTTTTTTCCTCTCTTGGAATTCTTCACGAGAGTTCCTACACCTATACATCTCAACAAAATGGGGTAGTTCAGAGAAAACATCGACACCTATTAGAAATAGCCCGTGCTCTTAAAAACCAAGCCAACATTCCTATTAAATTTTAGGGTGAATGTGTGATCACAGCCAATCGAATGCTAACCCGGACACTTGGTGGTAAGACTCCATATGAAATGTTGTTCGGCAAAACACCTGACAACAATCATCTACAAGTATTTGGTTGTCTTTGTTACTCTGCCATTATTGGGTCACATGACAAGTTTGGACCTCAGGCCACTCGGTGCATTTTCATGGGATATCCAATGCTTTAGAAGGGTTATCATCTTTATAATCTAGCTGCAAACAAATTTATGGTTTCTTGGGATGTTGTAGTCCATGAAGATAGTTTCCCTTTTCTTAACAATGAAATAAGTTCGAACTCATCTCCCTAGCAGTCAACCAATTTTTTGGAGGATGATAGGCTGACAGGTTCTCTTTTTACAATGCTACCTTCCAATGACATCAGTCTATCATTAGATGTAAACCCATCTACTAGTCTTGTCCTTGATTCTCCATTGGTAGAAACAACACAACCTATTGACACTTCACCTAGATATCCTCCAATGTCACCTACAGGGCCTTTAGTATCTCCTATACCACCATCAGAGCCTTTAGTATCTCCCACACCAGATTTCGAGCCTCCTCACCCGACCCCCAATCTAGATGGCAAATTACATTTGTTCCACCACAATAACTCTATCAGGTACCCCTTACCCGACCTTTAAATATGTCAACTATGAACGTTTATCTCTTACCCTCAGGATATATGTTCATCAGATTTCTTCCAATCATGAACCATCCATTTATTCCCAAGCTGTTCACCATCCTCACTGGCAGTAAGCCATGGCAGATGAACTTATGACCTTTGCTTAGAATAATACTTGAGAATTGGTGCCTTGCTAAAAACCTATTGGTTGAAAATGGGTTTATAAAATCAAACATCGTGCTGATGGATTGATTAAACATTATAAAGCTCAGTTAGTTGCCATAGGCTTTACTTAACGAGAGGGATTTGATTACCAAGAGACATTCTCCCCTATTGCCAAACATGTTACTATCTACGCTTTCCTTTCTATTGCTTCTATTCGAGACTGGTCTCTCCATCAAATGGATGATCATAATGCCTTTCTACATGTTGATCTTCATGAAGAAATTTATATGGATCTTCCACCAAGACTTCACAGACAAGGGAGAACACAGTATGTCGTCTAGGAAAGTCCCTCTATGGTTTAAAACAAGCCTCTTGACAATGGAATGAAAAATTCACAAAAGCTCTCAAAGTCTTGGGATTTGTCCAATCCAAGCATGATTATGCACTCTTCTCTTGGCGTAAAGGTAAAATGTAAAACCCCCCTCCAGTCAGGTATCCTCTGAATATCCCTCAATGAGAATTCCGAGGATATATGTCTGGAGAACGAGTTGTATTTAGAAAAAAAAATCTGTATAAGGATAATAATAATATCCAAAACATGCATATAAAATATCACGCAGGATCTAAACTTATAATTTACAAACTTTAAGAAATTACAGAATCAAAACATATTTATAGGGTGAAAGCTTCCAAAGGTATTTCTCAAATATTTATCATTTACATTATTTACATAAGATAAAAACATCGAGATGACAATAAATCATCTCCCCTCACGTGTAGTCCCGCTGTCTCTAGCATCCCTCACTTCTAGTCTACCTGCAAAGCAATCAACAATGAAAGGGTGAGCGCTAATCGCTCAGTAAGGAATGATCTATTTCATTCTGAATGTACTATTTGATCTTTATTTAAACATATCTGTTAACACATCACTTATCTTTTACATCTAGGGATACTTCCCCTTTTATTACTAAGTCATATGCTTTTCATCATTTTATCCCATGGCTAGATAAACATCAATGTGTACACATACAAATAAGTATGTAAACATAGTACACACACATCACATGTCATGACATAACATCTAAAATCATCTAACATGAGTATAAATCATCTCATGATGTAAATAACATCATAACTCATGTAATGCAACTAAATGCATATGAAACATTTAACGTCTAGCCGATCGGACTTTTCTTAGCATCTTAAGCACTTCATATCATCTAGCCTCAAATTTCATCTAGAGCTCATATCATCAGGAGGCGTGCTTACGCGTTATTTAGCATCTAAAGCATATATTCATCTTTCCTCAACCGGTATACGAGGATATGCTTACGCGTTTTCCATCGTGTCTATATGCATCTCTATCATGTCTATTTGCATCTCTAACATCTTATGGCATGTAAATACATATTTTGGTGAGCTTAATACTTTTAATTCATCTATGGATTATCAACCCATTTACATTACCTCTTGCTCACA